TGATATTTTTGAACTCCTTGAATAGATGATTTTTGGTATATGGCTCGTTACTAAATGAAAAGAAAATCGGAGGAATTTGTTATTAATATTGAGATATCAATTCTATTGTAATATTGTGCTAGTTATATCAATAAAATTTTTGCAACTGATTTTTACATTAATTTTGCACTTATATTTTGCAATGTTCTTACGCGTATTTCAGTCTACATATGGCATATGCCAAACAAAACAAGAGAATATATGATTTGTTATTAAGAATAAAGATTGGTTTGCTATTAAAAAAAATAGTTACATTTCTTTTGATATTGTGGAAAATTGCGTTGACAATTTTTTAAAAATTGAACCGGTTGAGTTATTGATAAATCAAAGCATTCAAAGCTAATCATCTTGATTAAATGATTTTTTTTAAGATACGATAAAAAAATTTTTGGTATATGAATAAAAAACCACCTTGATTTGTTATTAATGTTGATAAATAAGATTCTAGTGTAACTTTGCGATAAATACTATAATAAAATTTTCATACCTGATTTTCAATTTTAATTTTGTAATTTCACATAATATTTCCTCAAAAACATATTTAATATATGTTTCTTTTTAAGATGTGTTGTATGATTGATTACCAAAAGAATAAAAAGTAAGAAATTTTAGTAATTCGTAATTATTATAAAGAATCAGATTATTTTTCTTGTGTGATAATTAGCACAAAATAATTTTTAAAATGGATGTCACTTTATTTATATAGAAAGTTGTGCTATTAACCGAATTGCATGATCTATAACAGGTCCATATGATTTGATTTTAAGTCTTTATAGATATTAAGTAATTTTTACAATATTTCCTTTAATAGTAAATCAACTTATTTAATTAAAAAGTCAAAATTACTATTTCAGATTATTCCATCAATAAAACTTAATAACTAAATGATCCAATGTATGAAAGTCTGAATGACTCACAACTTAATAACTAAATGATCTGCAGGCTAAATACGAAAACCATCTAATTTTGATCAGCAACAATAAAACTTTGTTATATTTTTCATGTGATGGTCTAAAATAAGGTCTATGTTGCCGGTGAGTTGATTTGGTAATAATGAATTGATACTAGTACAATACTCGTGTAAATACACGAGTGTTGAATTAGGAAACATATGTAAAAATATTATTTTTTTTAAACTAAAATAATTTAATTTTATATAAAACATTACTCTGGATTTTTAATTAAATTGACAAATTATATTTTTTTAATCATAATAATTAAACACCCGTATATTAAATAAAATGTCAATTCATATTGAAATTTTTTACTTATATCATATAAAATTATCGATATTATTTACTATTAAATAAATAGAAATAATATGGTGATATGCATATGCATAAGTGCAGAATATGTTTGTTTAATATTAAGCAAATAATATTAATTTTTTACTTAATTAAAAAAAATAATTTAATTTTATATAAAACATTACTTTGGGTTTTAATTAAAATGTCAAATTATATATTTTTATTCATAATAGTTAAACACCCGTATATTAAATAGAAATGTCAACTCATATTGAATTTTTTTACTTATATCATATAAAATTATCAATATTATTTACTATTAAATAAATAGAAATAATATGGTGATATGCATATGCATAAGTGCAAAATATGTTTGTCTAATATTAAGCAAAATAGATTAATTTTTTACTTAATTAGATGTCTAAAACATTAAGTGTCGTATCCGTCGTGCTTTATAGTTTTCTAATTTTATATGTAATTTTAGAATTTAGATAAATAATTAATTATTTTTATTAGATTGATAACATACCAATTAGATTTGAAATATATATTATTTTTAAAAGAATACAGACCAATTTCTATTACTTTATAATGTAATTTATAGTTTTATTTGATATCTTTTAACTTAGTTTGATAAATAAACTTAAAATTATTTATAAGAATATATATTACTATTTTGTATTATATATATAACATGGATGTTAAATCTAAAATCGTTAAAATATACTTAATTTGATATATCCTATATAAAAAATAAAATACAAACAAAAAAGTTATAAAATCTTAAAATACGAAAAAGAAACATTATAACTAATGAATGAATTAAATAAGAAAATGAAATGTAATGTATGTTAATGTAGGAAAAAGAAATATAATAATTTATGGTAACTAATTGTAAAAATAAATAAGAAAAAAAAATTAATTATGGATTTAGTGTGATAAAAAATATTAATTTATATCCAAGCCTAACTCCAAAGCATGGTTTTTTGTCAAATAGGATTACGAAGCGTGAGAGTTTGCCACGTAGGCTCAACCCATTCTGAAATTATATATAGAAGGGATTTGATGGAAATTTTATAAGGTTGATTTTTTTTTTTTTTTTGAGCTAAAAAATAATGTTAAAATTTTCAGTCCCGTATTGATATGGTTCCGGACAAGTTTTCCTCAATTTCAAATGGATACAAGTTTATCTGGGAAGGTGTTCCATTTCGAACCTTTCTCGAACTAGGTCATGAAAACGGGACATGTGGTGTTTTGTATACTGAAAGCAATTATTCGTTTGAATTTATTTTTATTTTGAATAAAAGAATCATGTTAAGTCAATTGTTGTGCAATTTACTTTATGTCCGAATTAGCAATTTGTCCTAACATTGACGTTGTTGCACATAAAATTATTTTATCGGTTCATTGTACAATATAAATAAGGATCGTAATCGAGATAGCAATGGACAAGCCTATCGGTATGGTTATATTATAATTTGTGACTAGTTTATCTCGACTAATGAATTACACTAGTAAACTTTGTGCGTATTGAACTGGACCACGAATGATAAGTTTATTTTTTACTGGCCCAGTAAATAACCTAAACCTAGTGATATCACTCCTACTCTAATCCCATATGATAATCATGGGCACATGTAATTAATAATCATTTCTTTAATTCATCAAATGGAGAGACTTACTCGTTTAATCGACGTACTCGGTGAGTTGGAAAATATTATCAATCAGATGGTGTGTTGTTGATTATATTCGGTCACTGTGTTCTAGTGCTCCAGGGTGACGTCCTTGAAATGAGCTTAAAATGATTATTATATCGAGACTTGCAGGTTGATCGAGTTCCGACATAATAATAAGGTTGAGTGATACTAGTTTGGAAAACCAAGAAGTTAATTAATTAAATTAATTAACAGGCATACGATATCTTATACACGGGGAGATAAATTGAAGATAGTGGATCCCGAATATAGTGTAGTAATAAATCATTAATGTGCTGATATATTATTAATAGGATTAGGGATATGATTGGAACATGACCCAATTATTCCTCTTCCTATAGAGATACTTAATCCTAACCTATTTAAGATTCTGATGTAGCCTGTAAATATACTCTGTGTGTGTGTCTCATTCTTTTGCAAGACACACTAGAAAATCATGCCACTCATAGAGAGAGAGAGAGAGACAGAGAGAGAGAGGAGTCGGCCACATCGTTTGGGAGATCGTCGCCCACAAGATGCCCAACCACGGTGAAGGAATACGACAGAAGAATTTAAGGTAGAGAGGCAGAACCGTTCGTCCGGTCCTGTAGACCGTGTAATCGTGTCTGAGTAGGCATATCTCAGACTCAAACCTAAGATTTTGATTGTAAACTTTCGATCCGTCGTGTTTAAGATTAATTTCTTATGAATCGATTAACGAACAATTAACCGACATTTTTTCACATAACCCCTCAATAGTTCCTAGGACATGCCGAATTTTAAACTGTTCCATACCGTGTCCTCTCCTAACAAAAGTTAAAATTTTCCCTTTTACAAAATTTAAAACTAATTTTCAATGCCATTTGTCATGAAACATCTTAAAAATATCTCTTACCTTAACGAACATTTATCACATGATTTTTTTTATATAATTATAAGACATGTGGATATATGTTTTATGCATTTTATATAATAATAATATCAGTAATATTTTTTTTTTATTTTCATAGGCAAATATATATGATTTTTATGGAATTTTATTGTTAATAGTTGTTTTACAAAATTATCTTTAGACCTTTTGCGTTTTTTCTTTCCAAACGACAAATATATTAATAACTTAAAAACTCGATAGAGTACAATCGAGGTGTCAACAACCGCCAGTAGAATCAGAATAAAGTCTAGACCAATCCCCATGAAACAACACATGAGTTCAATGGGGTACAAGCTCCATCAAGGAGATACAAGAAACCACAAAACAAACTCCATAAAGGAGACACTACTTCCGATTAGATGCCAGACGCTGCTGGACTTAACAAAACAAAAAGACATAAAGACAAAAGAACAATACACACCTAATAAACAATTCGAATAAAACCTCCTCTAAACCTGTTGAACCAAACAACCACCCAAACCGATAACCGAGTCACACACCGCAACCAAAAATCTAGACCCCATACCCTATAATTGTGGCCGAACTCGAACTGCCTAGACAGATCTGGCGAGGTGACCGTTCTCGGTCCAGATCTAGGCTCCGAAGAACTTTAGCGCTGGATAAGGCACGAGGAGCCGCCACGAACACACTGGAGGGCTCGAAAATAGGACCCAATGAGGGACCTCCAATGCTGCACTCAGCTGAGCGGCCTAGCGGACCGACGAACCTTCTATGATTGTGAGGTGCTCGATGGCCACATCCCCCATGGTGCGGTGCTGAAGTCACACGAAACTGAAATTCCCACGGACTGTCAAAATCTCATAGTTGGAGGCTAGACAAGACGTCTGACGACCCCCTCGCCCTCCGAAGCCAAAGGGACAACGAGACCCGCCACCGACTGGTTCTCCCACAGAGCTCTAAGGGAGCGAAAAGGTAGGCTCCAACTGCGACTCAGCCAAAGCCGGTTTAGACGGCGCAGTGGCACGCCGACGTGGGGTGGGAGGAGAAATAGAGAAAGAAAGGGGGCAAAAATAGGACAAAACCAACAAAAGAAGTGAGAATCACAATTTTATCAACAAACAAAAGGGGGAAAAAAAGAGCCCAAATATATACCATATCCTATGTTATGCCCTCACATAACTCGGTAAACCCTTCACCCACTCACTAGAATCTTATCACTTCTCCACCCCAAAATCCAATCTTTTAGATGCAAGCGGCGCTTGCAGCCATGGCCGCCCACTCAGTCCTCTCCGCCGCCGTTCAAACACCTCAGCTTCCTGCTCTCTTCCCCGCGACGTCCTCTGTTTCGTCGCAGTCCCTTCCGTTCCATTCCTCCTTCAACGGCGTCGCTGTAAAGGCTAAAGTCCGCCCGTTCTTGTCTCTCTCAGCCGCCACCGCTCCCAGGCCGCTCACCGTCGTCGCCGCAACCAAGAAGGCCGTTGCCGTTCTCAAAGGCACCTCCACCGTCGAGGGCGTCGTTACTCTAACACAGGAGGACAATGGTATGTATTGTTTGCAATGCAAGATTGGGATTTCTGAATTCGCAGGCCGCATCTGTATGTCTGTCGATGTATATATGTATATTTGCAATGCAAGAGTGGATTTCTGGATTCATGGGTCACATCTATATGAGTGACTTTCTTAATAACGCAATGCAGATTTTCCTTGTGTTTTATGACCTGACCCTTGTGTTTTGTAATTATATTTCTTCTGTTTTTTGGTGTTTTAGGACCAACTACTGTGAATGTTCGTATAACCGGACTTACTCCAGGCAAACACGGCTTTCACCTTGTGAGTCCTTTACACTATTTTTTTCCAGTTTTGCAATGAATTTCGGAAACCTCTTGTGCATTATGAAGTTGGTTCTGAAATTTTCTTTCGCCCTCTTGGTTGAAGCATGAATATGGTGACACCACAAATGGATGCATATCAACAGGTTGATGAATTTTTATATTGTGTTTGACATTTTACTTGAGAGACCTTCCTATTTATCTGGTTATTGTGTAATTCTAAATTGTGATGATCTTTTCTCTTTACTTATAGGAGCACATTTTAATCCAAATGGATTGACACACGGAGCTCCTCAAGACGAGGTCCGTCATGCGGGTGACCTGGGAAACATTGTTGCTAATGGCGAAGGTATTCTATTGTGATTCTCAATAGTTTCTTCTGGTTAATAAATTAACTTTTTATTCCGTATTAATTTCACTTCTACATTTTGATGGGTCCAAATGTGCTCAACATAGGTGTAGCTGAGGCAACAATTGTCGACACACAGGTTTGTTATACAATTGTCTTAAACATTCAAATTGCACTTGAATGGTAGTTCATCTCAATATTAAAGTTGTTCATGTGATTATAGATACCGTTGAGTGGCCCCAACTCAGTTGTTGGACGAGCTTTTGTTGTTCATGAACTTGAGGATGACCTTGGAAAAGGTAAGTTCTTCAGTATCTAGCTTATGAACAGAACTCACATTGAACTGTGTGGTCCTAAAGAGTAAAGACTTTTGCTGAAACATTCTGTAATTCTCAACACAACAAGATATTTCCCCCGTATATTGCTTATTATTTTTAACGCATTTGTATGCAGGCGGTCACGAGCTTAGTCTAACTACAGGCAATGCTGGCGGACGTTTGGCTTGTGGTATGTTTTTTGTTCTCATGTTTTTATGTCTTCCTATGAGAGCTTCACACATCAATTTTTTAATGCGTTGCGAAATATTGTATTATGCTCGGGTTTTGTTTAGCAGCCTTAAGTATAAATTTATCTTCATTCTCGTCTTTGAAACAAAGTTAAGGTTGTTGCTAAAAGTAATCAGTACATGACTATTAATTGGTCTTAGTGGTTAGGCATGAAATTAATAAATGGGCTTTTGAAGATGGTTAGATCAATTTGTCGTGGTTCTTGAACCTATGAATTAGTATAAATTGCATACCACCATGATAAACTTTGATTGCTAATTTTCTCTAAGGAGAGGAATTGTTGTTGGACAGTAGATTCTAGTAATGTTAAACAAATAATAATTAACAATATTTATTGCTATAAGTGTGAACGCAACAAACCAAGTAATTACGGTACCGCCCCTAGTGTGAACACTCGCAGTATATAAACAACCTCCCGTAATTACTTGGTTTGTTGCGTTCACACTTGAAGAGTTGGTTAATTACGGTACCGCCCCTAGTGTGAACACTCGCAGTATATAATTCAACCTAACAATATTTGTCAAACACTAGCATATTACCATATATGAGCCCGATAAATGTTCATGTTAATGCGAACCAATACTTGAATGCCCCATTTTAGTCGTATGTATCTCTTAAGGAAGTTTATGGGTTGCGCTAATATCTTTTTTTCGCCTTGAAAGGTTGTGCTTGTTCGTATGTAATTTCTTCATAGTTACAAGTTAGCTTTAATTCTTAAGTTGCAGGGTTTTTATAAGAGAGATAGTGAAAAACCTGGACATTTAGTCTAGAATGAATTTGCTTTCTTTTAATTTAATCATTATAAATTCGTATATCTATCTATTGAAAATTTTAATATTTTCACGGATATATTTATTTTGATTGTAGATTACGGATTTACCTTAGTTATCAAGGATTATGTGAGGCAATAATTATAATAATCTCAAATTTAGTTCAAGTGTTTAACATGATACAAGAAAAATCCAGGACATGTTTAGTGGCCTAGTAAGATAGATTCTCTATAAAATGGCTGAGATTATTTAATTTGATGAAAAAAATTCATCCAACATAATTATCTTAGATAGCATCTTTTAGGGTTATCTGCAAATTAAACCTCGACTTTTCGTTTTGTAATTTTATTAAAACCTTTGCATAATTGAAAATAAATCCTAACCTTGTCTCGCTTTGGCAAAATGAACCCAGTGTCGACCGGCAATCACTTCTTTTTCAGCGTCGACAACTTAAGATAATGTGGGATGTCATGTCATTAGCTTAATTGCCACCAAATCGCGAACTTCTTGTTTTTGCCCCAAAAAAAAGAGCTTTTTAGAAAGTTTAGCAAATAAGGATATTTACTTTTCATTTGATTCCAAAAATTAAGTGTAAGAAGAAATATGAAAAAGTAAAAGTACAAAGTTTATGCACAATGAGTCCTTCCTCGTCGAATTTATCTATTAATATATAAAAATGTTGGCATTTACTAAATGTAGTAAGAAAAAAATTTTGCAAAACAATTTAGTTACTAAAAGATGAAATTTATAAATATGATTTAATATTTTCCTCCAATTTTTTTATCTGTCAGTTATAAATTTGACAAAATCATTTGTGAGAATTGTATCAATCTTTTTATAGCAACAAGCGTGTAAATACATATCAACTTTTTGTTGATTTTTAAGTATAATCTTTTTAGTGATAGTTATCCGATATATATAAAATTGTACAAAATTTTAAACTTCCTTATTTACTTTTGTTAACCAATTATAGTCATACCTAATTACCCTATAAAAAAGGCAATAGTTAGATACTTTATTTAGTCTATATTCATAAAAAAAGGATAATCACTTTTTAAAAATAGCATGTAAAAAAAAAGGTTATTAAAAATAACATTGTTCAATTTTTAAAATTTTCCCTTATAAATTTGGTCAATACTTATTATCAATCTTTTTATTCAAAGAATTTATCAATTCATTATTGATATATGCAAAATCTATTAAATTAAAAAAAAAAAATCAACGGGTGATTTTAATTTGAAAATTTGGACAATATCTCCAAAGTATTTTTCCAACATTTTATCTTCGTACTTTCCGTATGTTCTCCGTATCTTACTTTATTTATTTGCAAGTTGGTTTTTATTAAGCAATCAATGCTTAGATTTTTTATTTATTACTAGCGAGACAATATTTATTAGAGTTTTAAATTAATAGAATTTTTGAAATGATTTTGATTCGTAAGAATAAAAATATGTTGGATGCTATGTAATATTGACCATAATCAAATCTCTTACACAATTTTAAAATAATTTTATTTGTTATATGTTTATTGATACATATTTATCTTTGTATTTATTTTACGATGATTTGTGATTAAATTGTAGCATATAATATTTAAATACTTGAGGTGCTTTTGAAAATGCTATTTACAAATATTTGAGGGATTTTTGAAAATGTTATTTACAAATCAAGGTGTTTTTACATATTTTCGAGGATAGACATTTGAGGTGATTTTAACATATTAAGTGCATTGCGAAGTATAGAAATTAGGTGGATAAAATTTATGTGTTTTTATACAGTATATACTTCATAAAAATTGTATGAATATTGATCACACGACGAGTCAGTTTTTATGTAAGCAAAATGATGGGCAATACTCTCTCAATTAATTAATATATGATAAATTATATTAGTGTAAACTCCATACTGTTTTAATAGATTTAATTTTAATATAGCTAATCCATGCATCGCATGAGATTCATATTAGTCGGTATTAATCCATGGCATAAAGTCATTTTTTTTTTTTTCACTAACCCAAGAGGTTTAGTCCACTATCCTTTTTTTATTTTGGCAATTTTGGTTTAATTTATCTACTAACTAAATTATTGAACCAAATTGATTACCAAATTTAGTCTCGTAAGTTGAATTGCCAATAGTATTATCAAATTTCCGATGGTGTGGTGGATTTTTATGTAACCGTGATTGGAAATTTTTAAAGATAATTAATATAGCATCATCACAGGCCACCATAGTCGGATTTCAGCCTGCCTTTGTTTTCTACATCCACCATGGATAATACTGGTTGTCGGGAGCAAAGTGTACCAACTAATTTTGGATCACTAACTAAAATATTGAACATATGTTCCATATCGTCTTACCATGGACTTCTTCCGGGTTCTCTGGGTGGGGTGAAGGTGGTTCAGTCACTTTCCGGGCTCTCGTGATATCACCCTTAGGGCTCTCTTTGATCTTGGATTGGGCTGGATATAGATATATCTGGATATTAGGTATATGTTAGGGATCCCAATACAACAGCTAGTTAGAGTTTACCTGGGCAGTTCAAAGCAGATAGGTTTGAAGAATGGGTGGAGTGAAATCATCCTGTCTCGTTCAAACTAGATCAATCGAACTTTCTGGCGTGGAAATCAAAGATTGTGCCGATTGTACGAGGTGTAGACACGCTTCCCTTGCGTCACCGGTTCACTCTTCCTGCTTTCCTCGCTCGTTCATCCGTGCTTGCGGGCTGGCTTCGGAGGTTAGACTGCTTTTCTGGGGCCGGACTTTTTCCGACTTACTATAAGACAGTCGGCAGTTGTTGGTACACTAACCGTTCTCCCAGCAGTTAGCTTGCTCAGTTCAAGATCAAGACGAAAAACGAATAGGCGAAAGATAGGATTCTATCTCCACCCGGCTCCTTTCCTCTTTCCATCGACAGGTAAGGTTGCCCACGCTAACCCCTCTTTCTCGTTGTAGGCTTAAGGCTNCGAATGAGAACAAGTTTTGGGTTCGAATTGCAATCAATTGAAAAGTTGATACTTTATTTGCTAAATTTTTTAAAGTTGAGATATTTTTGCAAAAAATAAAAATGTCATGTTTGTTTTTGCAATTATGGTAATGACATGGCTTTTCAATCATCAAAACCACTACGTCTATTTAAGTTGTTGTCCATGCTAGCAAAAATAGTGTCCGCTGGCTGACGTTAGGTTCGTTTTATCAAACTAGGACAAGGTCACGATTTGTTTGCAATTATCCAGAAGTTCGGATTAAATTGCCGAAATGCAAAAGGTTAACTCTATCTTTTATTCGATAACTATTTAAAATACTTTACACAAAGTTAGTGTTCAGGTATTGCTAGAGATATTTTTTAGAACATATGCTCTATTATTTTACGAACTATGGCTCAATTTTGAAGTGATACCTTATTCTCAGATAAAATGTAATTTGAATCGAACCCATTTACTCATGGTGATGTGGTTTTATGTCACCATATTTGGATCAATTATTAAATAGTTGGTTTGTCAATTCTATCGATACTGATGCGATGGGTAGGATGAGAAGATTATAGATCTTTTAGTAGTCGAGCACTTGTATCCTTTATTCACTGGACTGGATGGTGAAATATTTGAATGAGCCAACATTTTATCTTATCCTTTTGGTTACAATCTCTTGATTATTATCTATGCCTCCATGGTTGCCGTGGATGTGAAAATATCCATATGAAATAAAATCATCCACCTCAATTATATCACATTAAATATTTGCGCTATCTAAAAATAATCACATTTGCTTGACTTTGAATCTTAGCATCATCCAATATCTATTTTGTTTGTCTGTCTGGTAACAACCGTTGTAATCTGAGTGATTCTATCGATTGTAATCTCGTTTCTTTTGACAGCAAGGGAACATTTTTTCTATATGTTTATCTTTGAATTGATAGGAATTCTCTGATTAAGAGTTGAGACCAATTTTATTAATAGATCTCTTTTTTATATGTAAACATATATTTTTTTTATGTGCAATATGCAGGTGTTGTTGGTTTGACCCCACAGTAAGATGGTTCAAACCCCACCCCACCCTTTGGGCCTGATTCTGTCCGGTTCATATAGAGAGAGGCCCATATATGGTGGAACTATGTTTTACGTTGTGTTGTATTACTGTTATTTTGGGTTTGTCTATCAGTAATTGAGTGATGTAACCCTTAAGTTTGAATCTACTACCTTGCGATTCAGAAAATTGTGTAATGGCACTTGTTCAGTGAGTTGAATAAAAGGGGAACTATGGCTTTGTTTTGTTTCAAAAAATAGCAAACCAACAACAATGACTTAAATTACCATAGGAAGAAAACGAAAAAATTACAACAATAATTATAAACTTGGACCCAAAACTCGAATTAAATGCGTCCTTAAGAACCCTACACAATCTCCTTTTCTAACTCACGCTGTGACCTACTAAACTCGAACTCCAGCCTGAATTTGGTAACTCTCAAATTCTGCTTGAACAACTCGATTCTCTTTGGCGGGTGATCATGATAAACATTCATGTATTCTTTCTCTCCTCTTTTTGAATGAACATTCGGAAAGCACAGCTTCTTGACGGCAATCAAAGCTCCCACCAAGTTTATTCGGGAGAGCTAAGCATGTCAGCGTCTTCAACATCTCGTCATCAAAGGAACATATTTCTTGGACTGACACGTGGAGAGATATCACAACTGTTATTCCTTTTTTTTTTTTTAGTTGTTTTGTTAAGACCTGATGATTCTTGATATATTGAGATAGAGCTATTTGTTGTGCATGTATTTAACTATTTATGGAGTATAAAATATGGGGTTTCTTTTTTCTTTTAGGTAGGGGTGTGCATAATTCGAATAATACCGAAAAAACCGACCAAACTGAATTTTTGGTTATTTCGACTCAGTCAATTTTCGGTTTTCAATTTATAATTTTTCAGTTATTTCGGCCAGTGCCGGTTTTCGGACATCAAATGTCCAACATAACCGAAC